TTTCCATACACACACACAAAAAAAACAAAAAACAAAACAAAGGCAAAAAAGCATAACCTGCGTGATGTGGTCCTTTCTTCCGCAGGATATCAAAAAAATCGCCCAAACCATTTTGATAGATTCCGACCCCATTTTTGACTTTTTTAGCAAAGTGGAGCGGGATGTGCTCGGGGGGAATGGGGTCTACGCCGGGGATGAGGACACCCCGGCGGCGGCGGCGGCGACGATCCCGAGTGGGGTGTTATTGCGCTTTCAAAGCGACGATTCCACCTATTGCGAAGCCCTTCACGAGGACGAGCGCGCGGACTTTTTGGTTTGGGCCCAACAAAGCCCCTTAAGTGGGGCGTCGGGCGATCGTTTTAGCAATTCCGAGGTCGGGGGGGATGCGGGGTGTGGCCGTCATCGCCAGCGGTTGTTGGACAGCAGTGAGGTGGTGTTGGCGAAGTACCTGCGGTGGGTGAAGGAGCGGACGGCGGCCCGGGAGGGCTCCTCGACGATCTCCTCCTGGGGGACTTTGGAGGACCCGACAGGCGGGACTGCCGCCGCGGGGGAAGCGGAAAAGGAAAAAAGGGAAGGCGAAGAAGCTCGAGGCCCCACCGCCGCGGCGACGACGACAACCCCGGACAGGCGTTCCTCCTCTCCCGCTCGGGACTTCAGCGCGGCGGAGGATCCCACGAGGTCTACGGCGCCGCCTTTTTTAGACGAGGATCAATTTTTTGATCGCTATTTCTTCCGCCTCGCGCGGCTGCGTCTACGGCTTTCGACGGAAGCGCAGGGGGAGACGAGGGCTATCGCCACCCCCCCAACAGTGGATTTCGCCAACGACTCCAATACCCAATCCGAGGAGGACGATGCGGTTTCCGAGGAAACGCCTCCGGATTCCGCCGTCCTGCACTACGCGCATTTGATGATGAATGCGGCGAACACCCTCGCCACGAATATTGAGAGCATATTTAACCCCTACGACGGCGAGGACGAGAACGAGGACGAGGTTTCGTGTAGGGAGGCCGCGGGGTCCTCCTTGTCCGACAACTCTTCCAATTTGATCGACGCCCAGGCGAAGGTGGCGTCGCTTGAGCAGGTCGTTCGTGATCTGCAGGAGGCGCTTCGCCAGGAGCGCGAACGGGTGCTGGAGCTCACGCGGATTTTAGAAAGTCATCAAATCGAGCTGCCGTCTTTTGCGGCGCATTCGGCTGCGGGGATGACCATCGAGGGTTCTCATCCCGCCCCGCGTGAACCAGCGCCGTCGAAGCCTATAAAGCAGGCGAGCGGTGAACCTTTGCGACTCGATCAAGCTACAAACGAGAATGTGCCCTATTCAAGTTGTAAAATGGATTCCAATTCCGAGGTATCCGAGGGTGGGTGGGAGCAAATCATTCAGTAGGGGATTTAATGTAAAATTAGAAATCGTTTTGAACCATATTGTAATAACTCTTTACAACGATTCCATACTCTTTTTTTATATATATAAGAAAAAATCATATAAGTTACACAGCTGATTTCTCGTTAATGACTACGCAAATACCTATATATTTATGACTAAATGTTACTTGATAAACTGCTGCATGCTCTGAATGATTTTGTTAGTTCAATATCAAATGAGCTATCCGAGATTGTTAGCGAATTTATAAGGAATGATTAGCTTAATTTTTATATTATTATTTTATAATTCATTTTATTTATTTTCAACAGTGCTTTCTTCCAATAAATATTATATATTATATCCTTTATTTTAACTATTATATTTATATATTATATATCATTGTGCGAGAAGAAGGCTAAACAAAATTTATTGGCGACCCATTCGATTGATGTTGTGTTTCTTAATAGATGCATTGTGGTTATTCAATACTATGTATTTTTCAAAACAGCTTAGGGCAAAGATGTAGAATATAATAGGCCTTGGTATGGGGATGAAACAAAATTTTATTTTTTTCCCTCTGGCGTGCTTTTCCAACTTACCAGCCGCAATCGCAGTGGTAGTGATGATAACCGGAAGCAACAAATTTTAGAAGAGCTTTAATTCGTATACAGTCGAACTATTTTGAAAAAAACAAGGCCATTAAAAAAAATTTCCACATTTTTCTAGATATTTCCCTTTTTCCTGCAGTTTCAGGAAGCAATCACACGAGGCGATAGAAGCAAAACAAACGATCAGGAATAGTAAAGCCTTTTCATTATGATTCTTAGCAAACAGCCAGGTGATACCGGTGTCTTTGCTACAGCCACCAGCACACGAATATGCATTTACAAACTCAGTTATCAGGCACTTTCCGGAATAATTGTTAATACATGCGATGATTTAACCTCTTCTTCTGAGATGAAGAGCAGGCCCCCAGAGCACCTCTATTATTCGCACGATAGCTTTGAATTCGATCGACAGCAAGGCCAGGGACTCTCAGAGGGCACTGATGGAGCCTTCAAGTGCTTTAATGATACCCCCTCGTCTCATCCTCGATCACCCCTTCAAGCCACCGACTTGTTTGAGATGTGGGGGACCCCTCTTCAACCACTGTGTACCTATTCTGTTGATCATCTTTACCAGCAACAGCCCTCTCCGCGCCTGGGCCGGGTGCACTCCGGCGCCATGGGGCCGCCGCGGAACCCGGCGGGAGGCGGGATTTCCGGGTTCATACCCAACACCCCGGCGTCGCCCGGGTACTACCTCCCGGGCCCCGGCCCCGGCTCACCCTCCGAGTTCCTTCCGACGTCGCTTTCGCTGAGCTCGGTGCGGGATCCGATTCACTTTTTCGTCTCCGACCAGTCCGGGCGGGGCTGGGTAGGCCGCAGCGACGCCCCCGGGCTCGGGGCGCTCCCTTTGCCCTTCCCGACCGACCCGGCCGAGGCGGCCTCGCTGCTGTCGGCGCCCGGCGTCCTGAGTCGGAGACA